CCCCGCCTCGGCGGAGCCTTCGCCGCCAGCCTTGCTAGCGCCACCGGCGCTCCGCCTTGCTTACCCCGGCCTCAGCGTGCGAGGAGGCTGACGGCCCGGCGCTCTCTTGTTTGTTTTAACAGACTCTTGAATCGGAATAAACACCTTCAGGTCTCGGAGGCTTCTGGCTCTGAACTGCCTTCACTGCTGTCGCCGCCTTCTGTCTAATGTGCTACAAGGATGAGCCCAGCATTTGGAGCTATGGAAGTGGAGCACTATTCCAAGGGAGTCCTGCTCGAGCCGTTTGTCCATCAGGTTGGAGGACACTCCTGTGTCCTCCGGTTTAATGACAAGACCATCTGTAAACCCCTTATTCAGAGGGAACACCAGTTCTATGAGACTCTCCCAACAGAAATGCGTAAATTCACTCCACAATATGAGGGTAAGTTACCCAACCTTAGGATGACGTTGGGCTTTTTCTTTCTGTAAATACATGTGTGCAGTGCTCTCTGTTATCTCTGAAATCTCTTCTGTGTGGAAGAGATTTTAGTGTTTTCTTTTCATGTATTTTGATGTTGTCTGAGGCAGGCTGTGGAGATGCAGGGTGGAAATGCTTGCCAAGTTGGTGTTTGGGCTGACTAACAGCTTTAGAGTAGAGCAGCTCTGCTGGTGACAGCCCATGTATCTCCCTTAGGCACAGGTAAGTAGCTAACAGCTTGTGAATGTTTTTCAGTAATTCCGTGCTGCTTTTTTTGTGGATTTCTGATTTTTTTATTTTTGTTTAATGTTTGTTTACAGGGATTTGGTAAGATTGGTTGACAGTGTTTTGTGTAAGCATAGTTGTGGTCTCTTGGGTTTGGATTTCTCCTTTGCCTCTCATTTTGGTCACGATGGATACATGTCAGTAGGTGTCTTGTTGAATATTTGCAGTGTTGTTTCTGCCATTAAGGAAATGAAAATTCATGGCATTTAGGTAGGCAAGGATCAAGTAGCCGTGATGAGGCTGAGTCAGATGTTATGTATGAGTGGAAATTCCAGTTCTCCTAAGCATTGTGCTAGTTAACAGAAACACTTTTCTTTCTCTTCGTTATTCCATCAGCTGCTGCCTGGTGATTAATAAATAATATGTCTGAAGTACTTCTTAAAATGGAGTTGCTTTTTAAAGCATGTTGATTTTAACAGCCATAAGGGTGATGATGAAGTTTTGCATACTGTTTTTGAAACTGGTGGAAGACTTCACAGATGTTTCAGTGTTATGCTCCCTGTACGCTTACAGAGACTTAACTACAAGTTCTGTTGGACTGGAAGAAAATGTGATCTTTGAATGATACTTCTCAATGTAATAGAACAATTGTACTAGTATATCTGGCTTTTTGGGGAGTGTGGGGAGGGATTTAGGGGTAAGGGGCCTCAGTTGGTCCATCTGTTGCTTTTTCTGGGATAAAACCAAAGGCCACTTGTTAGCTGGCTCCCCCCTTTTTTCCTGTTGTCCTTTCCTCTGTGGCAGCAGGACTGTCAGTCAGGGCTGCTGCACTCCCTGCCCCAGCTACTGCAGGTCTCGGAGCCGCCTGCCCAGCTCAGAAGTGCCAATCTCTCGCCGAGACCTCTCCCCTCTGGCCTAGCGATGAGCTGCAAGAACTGTGCAGACTGGTTGATTTGAGAATAAGGAGAGAGGACTGGAAAATAAAATTAAAACCCATTTCAGACAATTGTTACGGCGGCTTCGTTAACCACTGAAACTTGCTAATGTGGCAGTGAGCGCATCTCTGTCAGAGCGCTCCGCTAAGACTCTTAAAATGCACTGCAGTGCTCTAGAGACTTTGAAGGGGAGGAGGAGAAAAAAACCCATTGCTTTCAAGGTTCACCATGTTTCTGTACCACAAACAGATTTGTGTTGTACTGCACTTTTGTTATTTATTTCACAAGATGGCTGCATTACCAGTATCAATAAAATATATTCAAAAAAAAAAAGGAAAAGAAAATGTATAATTAAACGTGGTGATTCTAACTGGAAGCTTTTGGACTAGTTTTTAATGTAATGTGACATTTTCCTTGTTTTGCTCTATTTGTGCATCTTTCCTTTTCCCGGGGAATCTCTTAACCAGATTTTGTTTGGATAAGTCCATTTTGCTTTGCTGTCATGCAAGACTTAAAGCTTTTGATGTGGGTTTTTTTTTTGTCCAGGTCACTTTTTCAGTGCAAGATGTTAACAAATGTTTTGCATCTCACTTAAGGCCAGACCAGTCAGGGTTTTTAAGTTAATAAAAGCTTGTCTTAATTGAAATTGTCTCCTGTTATTATTTGATTCTTACTTGACTGCATCAGAGAGAGAAAAGAACCTTTTGTATCATTGTTTTGTCAATGTGATAAACTGTCTCTTGTGAGGTGTCATTTTTGTCTAGGTCTTCTGATATTTGTTAGGTTGGCAGATGAGGTTTGGCCTGTGGCAAGATAGAAACTAAGGACCTGGGTAAGAGGAAAAAAAACCCCAAAAGTTGCTATATTTGTAGTGTAAAATTATGTGTCTTAAAAGGCTTGCTTGTCACCTCAGCAATTCATAACTGTCTGTGTCCTTTCTCTCTTCAGGTGTGGTGTCAGTGAGCTTTGAAGAGGATGAAGATGGAAACTTATGTCTAATAGCATATCCGTTAAATGGGGACCACGATAACTTAGAAAACTTAGATAATTCTGACTGTGAACCCAAAAGTAAGCTGTTACGATGGACTAACAAAAAGACCATGTTGTTAGAAAATGAGAAGATATCTAAGGAGTGGGTCCGACAACACAGGAAAGAAGAAAAAATGAAAAGGTGAGTTTGATAGGGAGAAGCAGAATGTGGCATGTTGAAGCATAACTTTTTTTGGTGCCAGACTAGGATCTGGGCTCCAGAATTCCAGACAACTCTCCAGTTAACTTTCACTTTCTGTTCTTGTTTCTTTGCCTGACCCCTTCAGTGCAGACAGGTTCAGAAGCGAAACTAGTATGTCCTCAGCCCAGTAGCCTGTCGAGTCTTTTCATTATTTTTTTGCTGTGATCAATTGAAAAAGGTTTCCCAATGTTATGTTTGAAGCTTCCACAAAAAAGTGAACCTGCAAAAGCACAGCAACTGTATAAAACCAAAAAAATATTTCAGTATTGCTATATATGGCCTACTTCTGTAGGAATCCTTCTTTATCCCTGTTAGTGACGTGTTTTTCCCCTCGTTCGTTGATATTAACGAACCATAAACTGTGCCCACCATAAACTGATGTATTGTGCTGAACATCGTGAGCTTAGCAGAAGATAAGTCTTAAAGCATATCACAGATACCTGCAGCACTTCTGTGGAAGCAATTCACACTGGTAAAGAACAGATAAATAGAATCACTACAGGTTTTGTAGTATATTTGGCTGTATGCTGATTTACATGCATATGAAAGTAGCTTTATAAAGGTTGAAAAATTACTGATGGGCAACTTATCCAGTTGTACAGAAAACAAAGCTTATGCTAGTTTCAGTGAACGTGAGCAAAATGGTTTGTAAAGCTAAATCCACTGACAACCTCTTTAAAGAGAGTTTTTCTATTGACCTCTAATTTGCTGCTTTGTTCTGTTTTCTAGTCACAAATTGGAGGAAGAATTTGAGTGGCTGAAGAAATCTGAAGTTTTGTACTATACAGTAGAGAAAAAAGGAAATGTCAGTTCACAATTTAAACATCATAATCCTTGGAGCATGAAATGTCATCAACAGCAGTTACAGCGGATGAAGGAAAATGCAAAACACCGGAATCAATATAGTATCCTTTCCCGAAAATACCTCATAAGAATGGAATGAGTAGGGCTCTGGTTTTTATTTCTCGAACATGACAGAGAAGTAGAGCGCAGGCTTAACAGCAATCCCCCGAGACTGTCCAAAGCCGTGAGGTGACTTGGAAGGGATTGCCAGCATTTCCCCGAACACGGGCTTTTCCAGCACATAGTGAAGTTGCTAGGCTCGGAGATTGAGATAACTTAAGTCAAGCCTACAAAGTGTGGATTGGTTAGTGGAAAGGTTTGACAGCACACTGTGCTTGGGATCTTCCACAAAACCAGTCTGCTAAGGCAAGCTCTCGAAGGAGAAGGGTTCTGTCACTTTGTTACTGGTTTTGGTATTGGTGGTCTTAAAAATAGCATCTTTTTCTCTTCTCAGCAACTTCTTGTGTTGCCTTAAATATAGAGGATATTCCAATACCTGAAGTTTTCTGCTTCTAGTAGTCTCTTTTTAGTGAGCCTTTTTGATAAGGAAAGGCTGCATATAAGCTGTCACGTAGGACTGGGGCATGAGAAACACAAAACCAGTGACAGAATCGATGAAAGCTGAAGCACACAGCGTTCTGGAACCATAGGCAAACATCACCCTGTGCATTTTGTGGAGAAAAGGTCTTGCTGTATGCAGGCTCGGATGCAACCAACATCCTGCAAAAGTAGCAGTATCTGGGTACTTAAGTGAACAAATTCCTCACGTGTGAGGAGTGTGATGGAAACGTCTCCGACTAAGAAAGCGGTCAGAGTGGTAGAAAGCATTTCATGGCTGGTTTCCTCACCTTTTCCCTCTAGGTGATTATGAAATTACCTAAGTAGAAGCGTGTGGTATTGCTGCAGGTGTCTGAAGTGCTTTTAACTTCTGTGTTTCGGAGTGGTGTGAAAAGGCTTCACTGTTTTTGAATGGTAACTGAAGCACACGCAATCTTCACTTCCCACAAAGAACTGTCTCTTGCTAGGCAGGAGATACTTCATAATTCTAAATCAGCTGCCAGATGATATTCCTCGTTGACTCTGGTTACTTTTTTTTTTTTCCCCCCACTTCATGTGGAAACTCACCTGTCTTCTCTAGAGACCAGTGAAACTGGATATCCACTCTGCTTTATGCCAGGTTTATGTACCTAACTTTTGATAGGCTACTTCGTACTGGGCCTGCTTGAGGTTAAGACTGACACTATAAGATCTGTGATAACGAGTTTATAACCTGTATTCCTTGTTGTGAGGGTTGTTCCTTAACTGTTCAGAATTCATTTTGCTGGAAAACCTAACTTCTCGATACGAAGTGCCGTGTGTGTTGGACCTTAAGATGGGAACCCGACAGCACGGAGATGATGCGTCGGAAGAGAAGAAGGCTAATCAGATTCGCAAGTGCCAGCAGAGTACATCAGCTGTGATCGGCGTCAGAGTCTGCGGCATGCAGGTGAGAGGAAAAGGGAATTACGTGTAGGGCAACAGGCTTGCACCCTTTCCTGTTAGCGAGGTTCTCGGTTTGTGTAGTCATCCCACGTGTTGGTGTCCTTGATGCTGCGCTTCCTTTCCTTGGGTGAGTATCACTGACCGGCTGACGGTGGCAGCGTCTGCAGGAGCACCCTGCAGCATGTGCTCTGCATCAGTGGATGCCTTCTCCGAGCACAGCGTCTCCTGCAAAATGGTGTGGGAAATCGCTGGTTCGATTAACACTTCAGCGTAGCATAGGAAGTGATTGAGAGGAGGGTCTGCAAGTACCTGCGTTTTGAGAAAAGCATGTGGACGTCTCCCAGAATGTTAAGAAGCCATCAGTTCTGTCTCACGGTCTGTGAAAAGCCACGGGTCTCTCGCTGCTTAAAGCAGGCTTGTTGCAGCATGCAGGCAAGAAGTGGCTTGGTAAATGTGGTCAGACTTGTGGTCAAATCAGGAGAAAGTTGTGTGGACTTTCACCTGAGTTTTGTTTACTTGTTTCTGTATTCCTAGAGTGACAAATGGGAAACAACCTGCTTGTATTTGAGTCTTTTCTGAAGCCTCTCTCCTCCCATCCAGTAGATTCCAGGAATGCCAGCAGTGTTTGCTAAGGCTTGTTCCACAGTGTGACTGTTGGCATGTTTGGTGTTCAGATCACTGTTTAACTTCGGGGAAAAGCACGAGGCAGACGTGGAAGTGTGGGAGCTGCATTTCTAACTGCAGTGTGCCGGGATAGGAGCAGGGCAAGCTCGTTGTCACCTTCCAGTAGAGACCTGTGCTGGAAAACGAACTCTAGAGGCACCTGCAGTCCTTATTTGAGCCATATGCTTGGGCATTATCCAGCTATGTGGTGTATGGACTCCTTTCCTGTAGGAAGACATCTTCCTGCTGGAGCACCTCTGGCCTCTTTCAGTGCAGAGGACCATGGGGCATACGTGAACCTTACTGCAGGAGCATTTGCTGTTGCTTGGACCCCAGCATCCTGGGGATCGCTGGTACACCTGGGAGCAGAGGCAGATAATGAACTGAACGAGTAGCTGAGGTGCAAGTTGTAACTTGACTTGGGAGATCTTGGCCGCAGCTTTCCTAACCTCACTTAAACTCCTCACTCTCGTGTTCCTCGTGGAAAAGCTCAAATCTAAACAAAAGGAATTTTCCATTTCCTCTATGCGTCCAAGTTCCATAGAAACAGCTGGATCTGTTACTTCTGTAACTGTGCAAGAGCAATTTTGAGTAGCATGTCATCTTAAAAACTTTCTGTAATGCCTCTTCTTTTTTTTTTTTTGGTGGGTGTGATTTTGGTGCTTGTTCTTTTTTTTGTCTCAAGGCTTTGAGTTGGTACGACCAGCAATTGTAACTGCTCCTTTTGTGTCTGTATGTGCAGGTCTACCAGGCCGGCACTGGCCAGCTAATGTTCATGAATAAATACCACGGAAGAAAACTCTCAGTCCAAGGATTTAAAGAAGCACTTTACCAGTTCTTTCACAACGGCAAATACCTGCGCAGGGAACTCTTTGAATCAGTTATTAAAAAACTGACTGAACTCAAGTCTGTCCTAGAGAAACAGGAGTCTTACCGCTTCTATTCGAGCTCCTTGCTGATCATTTATGATGGAAAGGAGAGGCAGGAAGTTGCCGTTGACTCGGACCCAGAGGACTTAGAGGACCTTTCAGAGGAATCTTCAGACGAGTCGGCAGGAGCGTATGCTTACAAACCAACTGCGAGTACTGTCGATGTCCGTATGATAGACTTTGCCCACACAACCTGCAAGTACTATGGAGAAGACAGTGTGGTTCATGAGGGCCAAGACACTGGTTATGTTTTCGGACTTCAGAATTTAATAGATATTATTAAAGAAATAAGAGACGAAAGTAGCGAATAAAGAACGTGAACACATCAGAGGAAGCACTATTGTGACTTTGTATTCCAAAATTATTGGCCACTTTCTGGTGGTAGGAATCTCTACAGGCTCTGCAGGGATGCTCCCGGCAGAGTCAGACTTGTTCCGAGGGCATTCACTTACTTTGGTGCTGGGCCTAGCACTGGCGAAACTTGGTATCCTTATTTATTTTAACTTTCTTAAACATTCCATATTTGATTACTCAGATACCTCTGTTATCCCTGTGTGTATACGTTCCAATAAAATTCTTTTGGTTCATTGTAAGTGACGCTTCTGGTGTTGCTGGGTACGGAGGAAGAGATGAGCTCGGAGCTTTCTGGCAGTGGGACACGAGCAGCGTACGGACAGCGGGGTTTACCTGCCTGGTGGGAGCGCGTGTGGGACGGCACATCCATTCTGGGACTCCTGTCGGGCGCGAGGAGCGAGCCCAGCAAAGCCACCAAGCTGGCCAGGAGCACCTGCCTTTTGAGGAGAGGCTGAGGCAAAGGAACCTGCGCAGACCGGGAAAAGATGGCTCGGAGGGACCGGGTGGCAGAAGGCTGGTCCCTTCCCACTGGAGTGATGATGTGACCTCAAGTGAGAACTTGTCTCTGAATCTCCAACAACCTTTTTGCCGTTTCAGGATCTTGTAGACTCGAGCTTGAGCTGTGTAACCTGTTTCTAGAGAGCTAGTGACAGTTTCTTAAGCTGAGCTGAGCCAAGACGCGTAAGAAACCCGCAGAGGATTAGCTGCAGCGGGGGTGGCTAGGGCAGAGCCTGAAAGGTGTCCTGAGCGGCTTAACATCTTACTGGGGACAGAGAGATGGGAAGGAGGTGTCAGAAAGTGAGAGGACAGCGTGGAACTGGAACGTAACGGAGTAACCCAAGCCACTGGTAGCTCTTGAGAGGCACGTTTATTTATCTAATCGCCTCTAGATAAATGACTTCTTCCCTTGTGCGGCTTCTACGTCACCGTGGTAGCACTGAGGGAATGCTGTTGCTTGTTGGGCTTGCTTGGGATAAGGCAGCAAGGTTGTAGAGGGATGAGGAGTCTGGGGAGGTGGGATGCCTGGATCATCTCTCCGCCTGCCCTTGGGCTGCCCGCTGGCACATGGAGAGACTGCACACAGAGATGGAACGAGGAGGCTGAAGATGCCCTGGCGTGAGGTCACCCTCTTCAGCCACCTGTAGCCCTGCAGCTGCAGTTCCGTACTCCCTGGGTGTCGCTGTCAGGCTCTGGCTGGTCTTGGACGGCTGTCCGGGGCTCTTTAGGACTTCTGAGGGGGTTTTTAACCTCAGATCAGGCAATATTAGTCTGTGGTTGCTCTTTCTCATTTGTTTGTTCCATAGCGTTCAGGCACAATCAGATGTCGGTGTTAAACAGGTATTTTTGTCTTGCAGTCACTGTTGTTTTGGGGGGGGGCAGTTCCCCATGGGAAGGTTTGTCCATCCTTAACTTGGCCGTTTGCTGCTGCGTGAGGTCCGGAGCCGCTCCTGGCCCCGCTGCAAAAAGCCCTGGGGGGGTGGAGAGGGAGGCCGGCGCTATTTATTCTTGGCACTTGGAATTGCAAAATGCTTTGGGCAGCTACCAGCCAGGCTTCCAGCCTGCTGCCCCCGGGATGTGCCGGAGGTGTGAGTCAGGGTGCCTGGAACGCGGAGAGGGGCCCGTGGCTGCAACGTGATGTTTCCTTTCGGGTTCTCCTGCCGAGGATGCGATGCCCTCTGCTAATGAGCTAATGACGAGCCTCTTGGCCGGCCCTGCGGTCGCCTCTCGCTGCGGCCGCGTGTGAGTAAGCCTGCCTGCACGGGTTCATCCGAGACACGCTCTGACTTTGTAGTCTGAAATTAGCAGGGATAAAGTCCTCTGATGTACTCGTGTTACGCAGGAACTCTGGAGGGAGTTTGTGCGATCCAGTGAGAACAATCGCATTTGCTCTGAGGCGAGCTGCCTCCGGAACAAGGCCGCTTTGTTTTGCTGCCTGCGGGCAGGGCCCTGGCTACGGGCAGGGCGATGCTGCCAGCGCTGCAGCCTTGGGTCTGGACCGCTGTGGTGCGGGCAGCCGGGCCCAGCGCCCCCGGGGTCTGTGTACGGTCACGAAGGCCCAGCTGGAACTGGTGCTGCCGTCGGGGATGAACCCAGGCTCTGGGTATTCTGCCAACACTGTCAGGGTTAGCGGGGGCTGTGCCAGCGCTGCAGAACAACAGCAGGGTGGGTGGGAGACCCCAGGGCCAGCAGCAGGGACGGAGGTGACCCTTTTTAGTAGTTGCTTTAAAAGCTACAACAGCAAAATGCCAGGAGGAAAACATCTCCCTCAGCTCTGCATTGAGCCGAACCGCAGGCGTCGCGTCTTAGGCCGTGTCCTCGAGGGCTAAAGAGGGGGGGACCCAGGGGCCAAGTCCCTCTCCATGACTTGCCGGGTTCAAGAGCAGGTTTGTTTTCCTTCCACGCCATTCTGCACAAATCCCTCCGAGCAGTTCCTGGTGTTCGTGGAAAGGCAGTTGTGTAACTGCCGGCCTGGGACATGACTGGGCTGGGAGTGGAGCTCCCTTGTTCCCCCACTGCCCCCCCAAACAGCTGCCCATCACCCTCGTGCCTGGGCTTCTTGGAGGGCAGGCTGGGGAGGGGTCCAGGGGGTCGCCTGCCTGTCCAGCATGGTGCCAGGGGGAGTGAGGGGGTAACGGGAGAGTGGTGGGCAGAGCCTCAGGGGACTCTTCTGTCCCCAGTTTGCCTTCCCCAGCGCAGGGCCGCTGCTGGTGAGCAGTGTTGGGCTGACCATGCCGTGGAGATGTCCCAGTGATGCCACTCCTGCCTGGCCCCTGCAGGCAGCAGCAAAGGCTACCAGGGAGAAAACCCCACCAGGAGCTGGGGAGGGGGTTTTCCCTTCCAGGGACTCATCCTGCTCTTGCTGCGCATGCCCTGCACATGGCTCCAGTCCTCCCTGGACATCCTTCCCACTGGGCTGGCTGGAGCACTGGGAAGGGGGAGCCGAGCAGGCTCTCAGGTCTGTCCCGGGAGAACAGGGTGCTGGGGCAGCCTGTACCCCATGAGGGACACCTCGCTCTGCGGTCGCTGCAGCCTCTGCTCCGTGGAGACGATGCTGAGCGCACGTCTGCCTTCCTCATGGCTCCCCTGGGCCTGGTCCCCTCCCTGCCTTGGAGGGAGGGGACCAGGAGGGGGCACCTCCGCTTCCTGGTGCTCGCGGGGACCCACCCTTTCCTG